GTCTGGCATACATGTGACTCCAGACCCACAGCAATGTGGTTGACTCTGAACTGCCCTCTGGTAATAAATGAGCAATAAAATGCTGGCTTAGCCCGCAAATGAAAAAACACACACATGATTAACCATGTCTGTTCCATTTCTCACATTCTCCCCATCAGCTGTTTGTCAGACACTTTGTTTCATCACTCCCAACCCCCAGACGCTCTCTCCATATCCCCTTCAATAATCAATTTGGTTCTCTGTAGAAAGTTACTATTTAAATCTCTTTCAGCTGGTGCATTCCAGATCACAAGGTGGCGCTGGGCTTTCTCTCGGTGCCCCTGGTGAATTACCATGAACTTGTATCCTCTGGTTACCCAGTGTGAACCCAGGTTTCTGTGGCAGGACTGAAATTACCAAAGCAGGAAGTCTTTGTCAGTGAATTCCCTGTAGTCACGGTTTTTCCTGCTGATTGATGCTGTGATGAGGGAGTCGAGAGGAGCTGACTCTCCCTCCCCCTGAGGTTGCTGTTTCTGACTGGGTGCTGTCTTGCTTGCCCCCCAGATTCCCACGGTGAGGTGGCAAGATGTGGGAGGTCTACAAGAGGTTAAGCGTGAAATTCTGGACACGGTGCAACTTCCCCTGGACCATCCCGAGCTGCTAACGCTCGGCCTGCGCAGAACTGGCCTCCTCCTGTATGGACCCCCTGGAACTGGTAAAACCATGCTGGCTAAAGCCATCGCGACGGAGTGTGCCATGACCTTCCTCAGGTGAGCCGATCAGAGGCCGGGTACACTGCCCCTGTTTCCAGTTGCAGTTGATCAATTACAGGCAGCACGTCCAGTTGTCTATATGCAGACCTTGCTTCATCAATCGATAAGATCATTGCTGACCTGACTGTGGCCATAACTCTACCTTCCTGCCTGCCCCCTGTGATTTTTGACTCCCTCGCCAATCAGCTGTGATATTATTGAATCATACAGTACTAAAGAGGCCCATTGGCTCACCATGTCTGCACTGACCAGGACATCTCTAAGTCTACACCCATCCCACTTTCCCACACCAGCCTTGAATGTTTTCAAGTACTCAGCCCAGTACTTTTTTAAAGGTTGTGAGGTTTCCTGCCTCAGCTCCCTCCCAGGCAGTGTATTTCCAGACCCCCACCACCCAATGGGTGAAAAGCATTTCCCTCAAATCCCCTCAGAACCTCCTGACTTTCACTTTACAATTATGAAATTATGGAGTAGGCTGAAGGAGCGAACAGCCTGTTTTTGTTGTGCCTGTAATTGGGCTGAATTTGGTAAGGGACACAGGGCAAGGAGACCACATCTGAGTTAGATGTAGGATGTGTGTCAGTGCACAGGAGGATAGTTCCACCTTTTCTTCCCAGCCTCCAGTAATAGGTGAGATTTTCTTTGTTTGTCTCTAAGCTGGGAAAGTGCAACTTCTTGTTAAATTACTTCATCTGTGGAAACTATTAACTAATCCACTAATTACATACTGTGTATAACTTTATACAGAAATGGCAGGGTTGGCATTGTGCAGTAAGTGCAGCCAGAGGTGCAGTGGCACTGCAGTTATGGAGAACCCTATCTGTCCCGTCTACCTTCAGCCCAGAGTCACTGAGTTTCTCCAGCATGTTCTGTTATCGTATTGGGCATAAATATTCCAGGACACACACTTTCAGAGAAGCAGGTAGCATGGCAAAGGAGGAGGGGTGGCTTTGATAATAAAGGACATAACATGTTAAGGACCAGACCAGACCCCCTCAACATATTTGAAGAAGGTAGCCTAGACCCCAACTTTTTCTTATTTTAAAGGCAAATGTAAAATGCCTGTTCCAGGTGCAATGCGACTGGTCAAACTACTTGACATTAAGCGAAACACAATTTACTTACACACTGTGGTCAAAGTACAACTATGGAAAGAGGAATTTAAAATAACTTTATTAGAAACTTAACAGAATAATAGTAACTATAACTAATTAGTTGTTCCAATATAGTAACATCCCATAAACACACCCCTTGGCAAAAAAGGTAAATTCAGACACAGATTCTCACATGCAGTTCTCCAATCCAGGAGGAAAAAATATCAAGAGAAAATTCGAGAGTGTAGCAGCCAGGAGACATTCACTGAAGCTTCCAACTCTGAGACCCCGACAGCTTCTGATGCTACTGAAAAAACCAAAACCCAGAAATCCTAATCTGAGAGAGCTGGCCCTGACTATTCAGGCTGTTTGAAAAAGCCTAAGGCCTCCCAAGCTGTTTACTCAAGTGGTTTTAACTAGCCAGCTGTGTACCTCTCACTCAATCTCTGTATCAAAAGAAACCAGGACAAAATAACCTCTTTAAAGCTACAGCATCATCACAAACCGAATTTATGGGAAACAAGTTTGGCCTCAGAATCAGTGTGTTTGTAAATTAGAAATAGCCAGAGCCAGATAACTCAAGAGTAGTTTCTAGGCCCTTTAGTAACAGTTATGACATTGGACAAAGCATGAAATAAAAAAAAACAAGTTTATAACAAAGATAGTGTGGTCATTATTGAGGGCTTTAATCTTCATGTAGACTGAGATAATCAACTGAGCATGGGTTTCTGGAATATTTCTGTGACTATTACTTAGAACAATACATTGTGGAACTGGCTAGAGGGAAAGCTATTTTAGCCCTCGTACTGTTTGGTGTGAAGCAGGCTAAACTGAGTGTGATATAGAAAAGATCCACTGAGCAACAGTGATCATGATATCATAGAATAATACAGCATAGAAGAGACCTTTCAGCCCATCAAGATTGTACTGCCAAGAAAGAACTTATTGATTATGTCACAGACACAGAATAAACCACATGGATAAACACAAAGTGGAAAACCACAGTTGTGTGAAAGGTGACGGAAGTTTTGTGAAGTTATCATGATAACTCATTCCAATTGACCTGTCCCTCCGTTTACTGCCCGCGAGCTGTACTTATCTCACAGGTCTCTGACACTTGTTTGTTTTACATAAAACAGGAATAACTACTTATTACTAATGAAAAGCACATTACGAAATTCTAGGAATGGCAATGATACAAACTCTTAAAACCACTAACCAGCTACCTGGACTATTACCCCAAAAATTCTGTTTTCCCTTGAAATCTGACAGACAAAGGGTTAGTAGTGGAGGTTAGATATTAGGTGAGGGATGGAATGAGAGAAAAGTGGTAACCATGTGGCTAGACTCGAGTGTTTGAATCAGAGTTGGAACTGCTGACCTTCCAATGTGCTAAATCCCCCAGTGCAGCTCGATCACAGTTTGGTGAGGAAAGAGCTGAAAGGATTACTGAATAGGGTTGGTTCCTTCTTCTGGGCAGTCTCCTCTGGATACCCTACCGATCTGGCTGAAAATGGCCTTCCAGTTGACCTGCACTGCTCCAGTTATCTGTTCTATGTTTCAAGCAGTGTCCCCGTGGTTCCCCTACCAAGCAGGCCGTCATGGTGTGTCCTCTCTCCAGGAGCAATCCTTTCTAGGACCACGCTGCTCAAACTCTATCTGTCGACTCCCCATACAGGACTGTGGGGTTTAGATTTACACCAGCTCCTTTTTGTCCCCTCCAAATTGTAACTTTCCTTACCAGTTATATTTGTACCTGTTGTAAGGTCATAGTGTTAACCTCTCAGCATTGGGTTGGCTTTTCTTAGCATGGAGGGCTACTGACCAATCTGGGTTGCGTGCATGTGAGTGTGCGTGCGGGGAGGTGTAGGGGGCATGCTGACTGGATCATAACCCTTATACCAGTCTTTTCTACAGTTTAAAAATTAATGTTAGCCATTGGGTTTGAGAAGGAAAAGTTAAAGTGCAGGTAGGGTTATAACATCTCTATTGTGTTTGAAAGTGATATCCTGCAAATGCAAACAATTTTAAACTTAAACAAAATGAATGTAAAGAAGGGTCTATTTTCCCTTATTGGACTGTAAACTGAGATGACAATTGGGCACTGCTGTATGGGCTGGAAAATCAGGAGAATTCTGAAACTGAGAAAAATCAAGTGATGCACATTTTTGGCTGTGCAAGACAATGTCACTGTTGGACCAGTGAGATTTAGTTAATGCTGCCGTTGAACATGAGCATTACTGGCTGGGCCCACCATTTGTTGCCTGTCCCTAATTGCTTTTGAGAAGGTAGTGATGAGTTGCCTTCCTGAACCACTTGCTGTAGATAGACCCACAATGCCATAATGGAGGGACTTCCAGGATTTTGACCCAGTGACAGTGAAGGAACAGTCAGGATGGTGAGTGGCTTGGAGGGGAACTTGCAGGGGGTGGTGTTCCCATGTATCTGCTGCCCTTGTCCTTCTAGATGGAAGTGGCCGTGGGTTTGGAAGGTGCGGTCTGAGGATCTTTGGTGAATTTCTGCAGTGCATCTTGTAGATAGTACACTCTCCTGCGACTGAGTGTTGGTGGTGGAGGGAGTGGGATGTTTGCGGATGTGGTGCCAATCAAGCAGCTGCTTTGTCCTGGATGGTGTCAAGCTTCTTGAGTGTTGTTGGGTCTGCACCCATCAGGCAAGTGGGGAGTATTCCATCACCCTCCTGACTTGTGCCTTGTAGATGGTGGACAGGCTTTGAGGAGTCAGGAAGTGAGTTACTCACTGCAGTATTCCTAGCCTTCGAACTGTTCTTGTTCCCACTATATTTATATGACTAGTCCTGTTAAATTTCGGGTCAATGATAACACCCAGGATGTTGATAGTGGGGGATTCGGTGATGGTAACACCATTGAATGCAAGGGGCTGTAGTTAGATTCTCTCTTGGTGGAGGACATCATAGCCTGGCATCTGTGTAGTATGAATGTCACTTGCCACTTGCCAGCCCCAGAGATAGTAAGAACTGCTGATGCTGGAGTCAGAGGTAACACAGTGTGGAGCTAAACAAGATATTATCCAGATCTTGTTGAATTTGAACACGGACTGCTCCAGTATCTGAGGAGACATGAATGGTGCTGAACATTGTGTAATCATCGGCGAACATCCCCACTTCTGACCTTGTGATGGAGGGGGAGGTCATTGATGAAGCAGCTGAAGATGGTTGGGCCTAGGACACCTCACTGAGGGACTCCTGCAGAGATGTTCTCGAGCTGAGATGACTAACGTCCAACCACCATGACCACCTGATTACCCATTGATTTCAGTTTTGCCGGGGCTCCTTGATGCCACACTCGATCGAATGCAGCCTTGATGTCAAGGGCTGTCACTCTCCCCTCTCCTCTGGAATTCAGCTCTTTTGTCCATGTTTGAACCAAGGCTGTAATGTTGTAGAGAGGCTGGATAAGCTTGGATTGTTTTTGTTAGACCAGAGCAGGCTGAGGAAGTTCCTGATAGAGGTGTATGAGGGGCATGGACAGGGTGGAGAGAAAGCAGCTGTTCCGCTTAGTTAAAGGGTCAGTAACAAGGGGCTATAAATTTGAGAGTCAGGAGGTTTAGAGGGGATTTGATGGAAATGATTTTTACACAGAGGGTGGTGAAGATCTGGAAATGCACTGCCTGGGAGGGAAACTGAGGCAGGAAACCTCACAACCTTTAAAAAGTACTGGGCTGAGCACTTGAAGTATCTAAACATTCAAGGCTATTGGCCTGATATGGGAGAGTGGGATTAGAGTAGGTGTGATGGTACAGACTCAATGAGCTGAAACAGCCCTTTTATTGTATGAACCTATGATTCTGCTGGTCTTCTGACTGAATGAATATCATCAATTGAAAAGCAGAATACTGCAGAAGCTGGAAAACTAATTAAAATCTGAAAATGCTGTATAAACTCAGCAGGTCTGGCAGCTTCTGTGGAAAGTGAAACAAGAGTTGATGTTTGATAAAATAATGTAATGCTGTCCCCTTCACCCCTGTCCTTCATTCACTGAACTTTAACATGTCTTTGTTAACTCCAGCTGTCTGTTTCTCAACTCAGTGTTAAAGGCCCTGAACTGATCAATATGTACGTGGGACAGAGTGAGGAAAATGTGCGAGAAGGTAGGAGACAGCCTCAGACGCTCAGACACCTCACAGATAGACGGGGCGGGCAAAAGCGGGGCTCAGTGCGGGGGGGACGAGGGCAACAGGGTAGGGGTGTTAGTGTATGGGTGTATTTACCAACTCTTCCTGTGTCTCCCCCACAGTGTTCCCTGGGGGGGGGGGGGGACACTGGGGGGGTTTTAGTATGTGGGTGTATTTACCCCCTCCTCCTGTGTCTCCCCCACAGTGTTCCCTGGGGCAGTGGGGGTAGTGTGTGGGTGTATTTACCCCCTCCTCCCGTGTCTCCCCCACAGTGTTCCCCCCGAGGGGTGGAGTTAGTGTGTGGGTGTATTTACCCCCTCCTCCTGTGTCT